GTGGGGGGGGGCGCGGTGGGGGGGGCGGGGCCCTGCCAGTCTCCATGGCTGGCGGAACTCAGAACTGGCATCCAGGCACCCCGGTCACCTTGGTCACCCCAGCACATTTTGGTCCAAACACAGCTCCGTGGCAGTTTTCCACTCCTACCTGGTGCGAGTGAGGCCTCAGGGAAGAGAGAGGGCATCTCCGTGCCATGGAGGAGATGGGCTTTAAGGACGAAGTGGACAGAGCCAGGGCAAGGGACGGCATGGACGGCCAGGTGAGCAGAGACAGGGAGATGGGCATATAGAGCAAAGCACAGTCCCACTTCAGTTTCACCTCTGAAATGCGGTTTGGCATCAAATTTGCAGAGAAGTCATCTTCCAAGGGAGCAGAGTATGTCAGAGAGGAAAGGACTTCTCTTCCTACACACTTCAGCATGTTTTAAAAGGCAACATAAGCTTCTGTTTAAGTCAGTTATATAAGTGTTGCTTTCCAAAAGATGCGTGGAGGAGTTACCTACACAAACGTTGACACAGGGAAAACAGCCACTGCCCTTTGCAAGAGAAAATATCCCCCTTCCCGGCCCAGGGAGAGGCAAATGCAGTGGCTGAGGATTTGGTTTTGTTTTCAATCTGGCTTTGCAGCAGGCCAGCTGTGGTACCTTTGCCATCAATAAAAGCTACGGATGGAGCAGCGTAGCATTACAATGGGCTCATTGTAACCACATATTTCCACTTAACAAATGACTGCCAGCCTGTATTTGATTAATGCCATTAGGAACGAGTGACCATTGTTTACCTTGTAATTTATTAGAGGTAGGCTTTCCAAAACAGGACTTCAAGTAGGCACCTAATTCTTATGGACTTATAATTATAATTGAATAACTGGCTTCATTAAGCACCTCTGAAAACCTGATTTGAAATGATTTGGCAGGAAGAGAAATGCTTCTGAGCTTTAGGACAGGGTTTGTCCTTGGCAGTTTTTTAAAGAGAGGATGCAAGATTCGCACAAACCGTAAGACTAACCTATGGCTTTGGTAATTTCTAGACCACAAAGAAGGGTCCGGCTGGCACAGCGGAGGCAGCAGCCTTTGTAACGGGCAGTGAGAATGCTCCACCACGCAAGACCCCGCTCATCTGCTGCGCAAATGGCCTTGATCAGGACACCTTTAAAATTGTGAGATACTAAATAGAACTTAGCAATGGAAAAAAATCAGTAGTATCTCAGGTTCTTGAGAGAGAGGGAGCAAATAAACCCCAGAAGCTTGGCAGAGGGAGCAAAAAAGCAGGACAAGACATTTTGTTCTGTAGCTTTCTCCCATGTTTGAAAGTTTTTACTTCATCATTGGTTTCCAGTCATCTGGACATCACACTTCTAGTTTAAAAAAAAAAATAAATAAAAAAAAATGCTACCCAAAAACCCCCAAACCAAAACAAACCACAAAACCACCAAAACCCCAAAACAACAACAACAACAACACAATCACATTTCACATACACTTCAGCTTTTCAAAACAAGCACTGCTACATTATCATTTCACATGACGCCATGTCCTCCCTGGCTACAGTGGTTTGGTTCCTCTGCGTCACTTACACCACAGCCACAAAGCTCCATCCTCCCCCACCGTGGGATATGACCTTCCCATTCCTGGTGCACCATGGCATAACCATACACAGCCCCAGTCACAGCCCAGTGCACATAACTGGCAAAAAAACCCCAAACCAAACACAAAACAGAAAACCCCAAAACAGACGGACAAAAGGGAGGGCATCCAGATGCAGCGTTTGCTCCTGCGTCATGAGCAAACATTTGCAACACATCCCAGGTTTGGCCACAGGAAGAAGCAGCATGAGAAAAGCTTTGGCCACAGGAGGAAGCAGCATGAGAAAAGCTTTGGCCACAGGAAGAAGCAGCATGAGAAAAGCAGTAAAGTAGTTCCCTTTCTCCCTCCCTGCAGAACAGCAGCTCTTTTGTAGCCTGAAATGCCTCTCTTTTGCCCTATAATGTTAAAAAGGAATTCCCAGTCTTGGAACTCCTTCAATTCCCTTTTCATGTCGCCTGGGGTGTCACCAACCTTGGGACGTGCAGGAGTGACTCCTGCAGAGCGGTGGGAGCGCCTGGCAGAGGTCCTGCTGACCCCACATCCACACAGAGACGCTCACCTAAACACAACCCTCCTTCAGTGCTTTCCTAGCCAGCTATTTAATCAGTTCATTTAGTGAAAAGGAATGCCTGAGACCTGGATTAAAGCGCTGAACGCTTATGCCAACACTTTTTCTTTACAGTGCAAGGAACTTCTGAGACCCTTTAAGAAGTCACTTCGGAAACTGCATTTGCCCCAGCACCTCCCCGTAGAGAAAAAACTGAAGTACACGAAGGACGGTTTGACCGTAGTTGGGGACCGCATCGATCTGTTTCTCCAGCGGTACTGCAGGGCCTCGGAAGTCAAGCACTGGCAGAAGTAAGGGTCTCCTCTTACCCAGCAGTGGTACCGCACCGGCGATGCTCCCAGCCAGCCAGGCTCCTGCCCCTGCTGCTCCCAGCGGGCATTCAGACACCTACGTTGCCCCTGCATTTCCAGGCACTGGAAATGAGATTGGGTGCCAACAGGAGGCTTGTGCAGCCTGCTCTAACTGCTGAACACTCACACATTTTGCAGGTAATTTTAGCAGAGGCCATGTAGCACTTACTCCTGCCCAGCACAGCCAATTTTGATGTGCTGTCCGTCAGCAACATCCCTTTGTGAGTAAAGGGGCTCCTACGTGGCCACGTGAGTTAATGGATAATCCTTCCCATGCTTAGGGATGAACAATTCTTTAGAAGTTTATAAGCTTTGGGGAGAAAAAAAAAAGGGGGGGGGGGTGAGGGGGGAAGTGCACTGTACCTTGCTGTTTACGAAGCCTGTCCAATTCAGTCTTGAGATAGTAAAGCTTCTTGGGGGGGGGGGCAGAGAAAAAAGTTGTGCAAAGGGTACGTCAGTGGTTACACTTGCCATGCCAGAACTAGGGAGCAGAATGAGGAAGAGGATGAAGTTTGTACTCACATGTACAACCCATTTCTTTTCCCCAGGATGTTCTGGCGGTTCGTTTCCCTCTTCTCAGAGATGGATGCAAAGCAGCTGCAGAAGCTGTATAAGTACATCAAGAACAATCAAATGGATAAGTTTCTGGTAAGCAAACAGGAAAGTTAATAGCACAGCACAGGAACACCTTCTGGAGTAACTTTAAGGGGATAACTATACCATGCAGCTTCCGTGGGTTGATCCATGTCAAAGGAGAAACCTGCTATCGAGAAGCCTGTTTACCAAAAGGCCACAAATCCTGTGGATATTGCCAGTTCCTACCGTAACGCAGGCACTGAGCTATCGCAGCAGCCAGTAGCTTTCCCTGGCTGGCTCTGGGAAGCCGAGCTGGTGTCCCCAGCACTGCAGTTTACAATTTTCAGAGCTCTTCACTGATCTCGTGTTTCCAGTCATTCCACCGAATCCGATCTGGAGTTTTACCTGATGATATCAAAGTTAAACTTTGAAACAAGCAAACAGTTCAGGTAAAGCCTTTTGTGCTTGCCAAAGCTCATTTCTGTGCCTGAGCATCAGCTACACAAGGGAACTGTAATGAACAGTTTCCCAAGAACACCAACTCCGGAGGGTAAACCCATTTAAGCACACTCAGAGCCAACCATAAACGTACCTCCTGAGCAAAGGCTAAGCACACCAGGAAGTTCAAAAGTCCACAAGAAACACACTTAAGTTTATTAAAAAGAAATTAAAAACAGAAAAATTAAAAAAAAAAAAAAAAAAGAGTCGGCTAGGAAATTGTTTTGAGTAAATTAGAAAACGGGGGCAGGCGAGACCTCGAGACCTCGCTGGGTTACTGGAGCACTGCTTGCTTTGCGTTAAAAAGGGAGCTGTGGTCATCTGATATTTGGCAGTGATAAGGCCACAAATAAGTTTGAGCTGCAGGTAAACAGCTGCCTCCTCCAGCTAGAGAGGAAGGGGGAAACCATCCGCACAGTTTTTGCTTTTAGTTTACGGGGAAGCAAACCCATTTATTTATTTTTAAGGCTCTAAAAAGATATTCTGACAATGAGGAAATTAAACCTATTGTAAAGAAAAAACACCCCCAAACACAAATTCCTGTTGCTAGCGTGAAATGCCCAAGATGAATTGGGAGATATTAAAAAAAGCAACTGGCAGCTCCGGGAGCAGGCAGCGACAGGCGTTCTTGCTCCCTTAAATTCGTGAGCACTCTGGAGGGTGAATTGAGCTCCATTTCCAGCACAGCCCTTCCCAGAGGCTCTGGGGAGCCCAGGACAACGACCTCTGCTAAGGACAAGCCCCGCTGCTCCGCAGGGCGTGTGGCTGAGGGTAGGTCCCCATTGCCCCCTCGGAACAAGAATTAAAAAGCAAATAACCCCCCTCTCCCAAATGCCTTCCCATCCGCTTGCTCCCCTAAACAAAAAACACAACCAAACCGCACAATTCCACGTTTTCCTTTCCAAGCGGGGTGGGATGAGAAAACCCGAACGGTGGGCGACAAGCATTAGTCACGCTGCGTCGTGCGCTATCGGATGCACCGGCACGTGCACCGACCTGCAGCCAGCCAAGAGCCTGCCGGCTACGGCTGCGCGGCACCGGGGACCAGGCTGCCTCCAAAAAAGGCCGACAGAAGAAGCGACAAATTCTGCCGTTATGTAACGGTTGATAAATGCCTTTTGTTATGCAAGACAAGTGGGAGAAAAATAAGCATCTTTGCCCTTTGTGGGAAGGGAACAGCAGTCGGCTCCCTGCTAGAGCATAAACAACAGGCTGCCGATCAGGGGGTGGGGGGGGACGGACCGGCACGCTCCACGCAACAGAAATAGATTATTTGGAAGTGTCTCATTATTTAGATGAGTGAGCATAAAAATACAGAATCAATATGTAATTAGTAAGTGGTTGAGGTTGTCAACATAGTAATTTGATAATTTTCTGAGTTTTTGTTAAAGGAGAGAGGCCAGCGAGCAGCCGTCCGCTAGCCTTGTTCACCAGTCATCTTAAAATTAGGATCTATGTCCCTTTCCCTCACATTTGGGCTTTTAGGCTTTTTTTTTTTTTTTAATTATTATTAAAAAACCCCCACAACTACATTTGAATTTAAACACTGGTCCCAATTCTCTGTTTTTAGACTTACTGAAGATACCAGACCAGACCCATTTCTCAGCTTAGAGCTAGAACAGAGCATCGTTTTCCTTTCAAACTGCTGGCTCCCATTCACTGCCGAAAGCTGTAGAAATCATCCCCGCGTCTCAGGTCTCAGTAGAGACTTCTGGGCTACCTGAAGTAGCTGGTTTGAAAGCTGGTTTGGGGTATTTTGGGGGGGTTGTTTGTTTTGCCTTTTTTTTTTTTATTATTTTTTTTATTTTTTTAAAGTCAAAGAGCATGACCAATGGCAACACGCAAATTATTTTCTCTGGGAGTGCCTGGAAGGATGCGCAGCGAAGGCGGCCGCTCTCCATCGGGTTCCGTGGTGCCATCCCACCACCCTTTGGATGCTCAGCGCAGGGACCCACGGCCGCCCCCAGCCATCCTCCCAGTGCACACAGTGCCATAAAGCGACAGTGACATCCAGTGGCAGCGCGCACCCGTCCACAGCACCCAACACCCGTGGCAGTGGGGCTGAGCAGCACCCACGCCCCATTGCACACGCTCCAGCCTTGGTTCGAACGCACAGAAGAATCACAGAAGACTACGATTAGGTTTTCTTTATGCATTCACCCACGGTTAGGCCTGTCTGCAGCCCCATCCGCTGCAATGATACACAGATGTACAGAGCCACCGCACTCCATACGCTTTACACGGGAGTTGTTCCAATACCCAGATGCATCTTCAAAAGCCAAATTACAGAAGACTGGCTGAATGCTTTTGCCTAAACACCATACATCACCATTTTGCTTTCAGACACCGGCAGTATTTGTAAGTGTCCTTTAAATGCTTCCCTGCATAAAAAAAGACAAAAGAAAAGAGAAAGATACCAACAAAGACAGCACTGTCAGCTACTGACCACCTCCCCACAACGCCTGAAAAGTGACAGTCCTCTCACCAGTGTGCTGAGAAGGGTTCTTGCTTTAAAACACAGATTTTAGGTGCTTGGGTAGAATGGGCTGAGTGAGCCAGGCTGCACAGATAGCAGAGCTGGGCATCAGCACAGGGGGACAGAGCCCACACCGAACACACAGTTTAGCAGAGGCCAGTGGGACTCGCTGCTGGGTGGGATGGAGCCTCGGATCCCAACTGCGAGGAACAAACATTTCACAGGGTGAGGCCTTGTGCAGATGGTACAGTAGTTTCTCAGCTGTTGCTGCTGCCACCCAACAGGACCATGGTTAAGCAAGAGTTATTGCCCAAGCATGAGTCAACGTGTGGTGCTTGCTCATATAAATATCTTTAAAAGTGTTTTTTTGTTCTTTTTTTTTTTTTTTTTTTTTTAAAGCAATTATGCTGTCCTTCAGAAAAACCAGATTCAGCTCCAGAACTCGAAGAAAAGAAACTGAAGCAGCTTTACATCAGTTGGGGTCTCTGCAGAGGTCCAAGAGACCTGCAGGAACACCTGAGTCAGAGAAACATTCACCACCAACACACCGGCAAAGTCACGGCCCAGCAGCAAGAATGACAGATGAGAGGTACTCGCACAGCCAGGGTCATATTGGCTCCAAGCAGGAAAAGCATTTTCCTGCTCAGGTAGAGCCATCTACGCTTGGCATTTTTGCGAAAGGATCAGCAGGCGAGGACGTGATCAGTGGTGGAGCTCGAGGAGTTGGGCAGGTTGAACCTCTGTCTCGGAAGAGACACGGGAGTAGGAAAAATAGCAGGAAGGGAAGCTACTACGGCATAAGGCAGTTGTAAGGAAGGAGAAGGCATCCCTTTGTTGGCCCGCGTCAGTTGGCATTAATTAGTGTCTCTTTACATAGCAATCTGGATGCTCAAAACATACTTGTGGTTTCCCTTTGGGCCCACCCTAGCAAAGCCACACACGCTTGTCTTCCAGAGCAAAAATGCAGACCGACCTGTAGCAGGCGTGTTTGCTAACCGGAGTCACTGGCGGCCTGTTTACTCCGGCACACACAAACCCCGAAGGAGGAATGAAAAAGGGGCATTAGAAGCAATTGCTGACGAGATCGGCTTTGCCACAAACAGGTGCCACAGTCTGCCTGCGGAAGGAGGATTTGTCCCACATAAGCCTGATTTTCAAGCTGCTAAAATGCAATCACATGTCCTGTGGGAGTTCTCATGCACTCGTAACCATCTTGCTTTTCAGCTCTTTTCTCCCCAGTCTCTCTATGTACCTCTAAAAAAAGTCCAATCTGGTGTGTAACAGCTCTGGGGGAGCACTTAAAATCCAAATTGATAAACTAAAAGTCAAAAAACAAGAGCTAGCTAGACAGCGTGATCTGGGAGGCTGAGTAGGAGTCCCACACTAGCCTGCCGGCTGTGCAGCTCCAGGCAATCCTCCTCCACTTGTCTGCTCCCCTGGAAGAATGGGGAAAACATCACCCAACCAATTCTCACGTAGATCAACGCACCAGAGACACAAAGTGCATGAAGCACTAAAAATTAGTGCAACTGGAACGTAACGAACATAGCAAGGGTTCAGGATTGCTGGTTGCTTGAGAGCCTGGGTGACGAGCCATCCTGCGTGGCCTGGGGCTCCTCTGCATTTCTGTTGACAATGTATTTGTGGAACCAAACCCTATGCAGAATCCACCCAGTTAAGCCCCCAGAGGACAGCTTGGGCATAGCAGTATCAGCTCCTGTAGGAGACACGGCTTCTCCGAGGAGCGATGCCTTCCATTTACACTTTGTGGTTTTTTCTGTTTGTTTTTAAGGTTCTCACAGACAACTGCTGAGGTCAACAGAAAGACAGAAATCAATTAATACAGTATCATCACCTGAACAAAAAGCAGGGAATAAAAGACAATCTTCATGGTTTCCCAAACCCACAAAATACTGAAATACTTGCAGCGTCATAGCAACAAGCTTCGACCCAAGCAAAGTGAAAATTTTGCCATTTTAAACCATGTGATCTCATTTATTATTACCCTGGAGTTTCCCAACAGCTGTGCACCAGCATCGAGAGTTGATCAAGGATGTGTAAGTATCAGACCTACCTTTACTACATCATTCTTTTTGTATAAACCCCTGTAATGGAAGAGCAGCGTCTGTAAGGGAACGGGCAGCCGCTCCTTTCCTTGCTGTGGCAGAAACCCTCTTCCGACGGGAGCAGGGTCTGCTCCCCGCTCGTTTCCACTCATACACACACAGGCAATCCCTCCGCATGGTCAGCAGCCGTACCGAACGGGAGGAGAGACCGAAAGAGGAAGGGAAGAGACCGGTGTATGGAATATATCCTGGTAAAAAAAAATAGTTCCGTAATTTTTTAGACACATACACTTGCCATTTCTAACTGTTTTGGGCAAATAATGGCCGTGAGCCCATCCACACATCAGCGTTCTTGGCAGATGCAGCAGCTGCCGTCCATTGATCGCGGCCGAGACGGCTGTAGCCCTGTGTGCTGCTGCTGCGGGAAGAGGCTCACCTGAGAGCTAACGCTTCAGACTGAACAGCGAGAAGGGAAAATGGTAACAAAACTGGATGGTTTGTGCTTTAGGGTTGACTAGATTTGAGTTACGGTGGAATCCAGGTTTTGAGAAAACATCAGAAAATATCAATAGCTTGGCATAGGAGTCTTTTAGTCCGACCAGTAAAAACCCAAAGATGCTCCTTACATGCTAGAAATCAGACGGTTGGGTAGGGGGCTTAGTTATTGTCTTCAGATCTGAACCCAGGCAAGAAAAATCCCTCCCAAATCCCTTTGGAAGGGCAGATAACACAGGCCATTTTTAGAATCAAGACAACAGATTTCCTTTTAAATAGCATCTTGGATCACATCCACAGACCTTGGCAAGAGACTGAAGTCCCTGGCTGCGCTGCCCGCGGAGGCACCGCTGCCAATCGTACACAGAAAATTGCTCGTGAGAGGTTGCGAAGGAGGATGTCGCGCGTTGCCTTCACCGGGCAACAGATTCGGCTTCTTACACTGGGTTTCACTGCGCATAAGAGCGGACACGTGTGTGGCGCAGACCGCTTTGAGCTTTCTCCATAGCACACCCTATAAACCAAATGCATCACAAAAACACTGTATGCCCTCAAAACGTCACACTTGTTTAAGACAGAGCCGAGCGAGATTAAAGCCTGCTCAAGACTGGGATTATTCTACAATTTTTCCAGTAGGACTTGAGGTGACTTAGAAGCGACGGGAAAGCTCTCAAGGAAAACTGGGCTCTGCCAGAAATAACCTCACAGCTTCCTGACCAGCTAACCTGTGCAAAGAGACAAGATTTCACTTTCAGAGGTCCCCGCTCTCAGTGTACGGTAAGAAAACCTTTGGTGTAAGTACAGGATGCATCAGTGCCACTCACACAACGTGACAGGGATGGCTTTTTCCTGCTCTTTAATTTTGGAAGCTGGCGGGAAGCGGTGCTACCGCAGCAGACTTGCACAACTGCACGGTTTGTAGCGCTCAATGCACTTTTCCTAACTCGGGCTGTTTGCTCTTTTCAATTTAAATGGAGCATCAGGGGATTCATGGAAGTGTTGCACAACCTTAGCTTTGGCTCAAGGAGAGGAAGATTTTCTGCATTTTATAAAGTGTCAATGCGCAGCGTAGAACCAAAGAAAAAACAAAACCACAAAAACCCATTTGCCCCCAAACCCCCACACCTGAAGAGATGCAAGCAGAGGCCACTATCGACAGTTAAGTTCAGGGTAGCAAAGCACACATTTTGTGCCACAGAAAGCATAAACTTTGTTCAGTAGGAAACGAAAGATGTCAGGAATAAGCAGAACTTGTGCTGCCCACGGCCCCGCAGCAGCGATGCCTCGTGGCAGCCGGTCACCCCCGACAGACGCCCT